AGGGAAGTAAAATACTAAATGATGGCTTTTCCTTAAGTATATTAAGTCAGGAGTCAGGCTGATCATGGTGAAATGTTACAATGTTGCTAAATATTTTACGGTATTGGTTTTCAATTGAGCCATAAGTTGGCAAACTTGGAGAGCTATTTATAGACTTCTAAAGGAGTATTTTTTACAGGGAAGAAAAAAAACATAAGGATCTTTGATTTTGTTGAGACTGATTTTATAATTTATGTGACATATAACTCTGTTTTGAGAGATGGCTTTTTTTTCACTTCTACAAGCTTCAATCAGTTTTCAAAGTCCAATCATCCCACCTTTTAACCCACTGTTCTAGCTCCTTCTTTTTTAGGAGGATTGTTTAGAAGCTACCTGCTGAATTCATATGATTGATAAGTAGCGAGGTTGGACTATACAACATCTTCACTTCTGTTCTCTTCAGTTTTCTAAATCTCTTGCCATTGTTTTGTTTGTCTTAGTCTTGATGGTTTAATTACAAAATGAATATATGTAGGTTTTAAAAAATATGAAACAATACAGTAAAAAGTTTTACCTACCCCCTTCACTTGTCCTGAAATCCCAATTTTTAGAAATTAACACTATTGATAGTTTTAAGCCTAAATTTTTTATGTTTCAGGCATTTTAAAACTAAAAGCATTTCAGATAAAGTTGAGGCCCCATGTGCAACCCTTTTTGATCCCATTCCCCTCCCTACTCCAGAGGTAAATACCAGCCTGAGTTTCCATGTATGTTTTAATATTTTTAATACAAAAGTATTCAACATTGTTCCACATGTTTAAAAATTTATACAAATGGTATCATATTTTAAACTTCATTCTGAAACTATTTGGTTTACTGTTATATTTTTTGAGATTTTATCTAGATTCATTTTTTTTCCTACTGTGTTTTTCTGTTGAATGCATGTCTATTTCTTGTAAATACTGATAAATTTGGACTTATTTCTAACCTCTTATTTTCTGTTGAAAATAATTTTCCTTTGCTTCTTTATGTTCTTCTTTCTTGACTTTTGTTAGACTAAAAAAGTTGTCTATATTCTCTTTTTCCCCACCTATGCTTGTTTAAAAGCAATATATAATATTTCTATTCCTTTAGTAATTATTTAAAAGTTTTAACATACATGACAAAACTTTCTAAGTCTTAAGTTATTTTGTATTTTTATTTTCTCCCTGAACACAATCAGGGACCTTAGTACCTTTTAACTAGTCATTAAAAACCCTTCCCCCAAAAAATCTTGTTATTGTGATTTGGAGTTCACTTTTGCTTTTAGAACATACATAGTAATCTTTTTTAACTTTCAAAAGTTAATTAATTTTTTAACAGTTTCATTTGTGTATCTTTGTGTATCTAAAATGTTTTCCCTTTGCTATTGAAAGAGAATTTAGCTAGGTATAAAGGTCTTTATTGACAGTATATTTCTCTTAGCACTTTGAAGCTATCTTTCTTCTTTTAATTTGTTTATTTCTATAGATTTAGGAGGTATAAGTGTTTTTTTTTTTTATTACGTGGATAAATCATGTAATACTGAAGGTCAGGGCTTTTAGTGTACCCATCACCAGAATAGTATACATTGTACCAGATAGATAATTGTTTATGCCACCCCCCTCCATCTATTCCCCCTTCTTAGTTTCCAATGTCCATTATATCACTTTATGACCATAATTATCCATCATTTAGCTCCTACTTATAAGTGAGAACATGTGGCATTTGTTTTACCATTCTTGAGATACTTCACTTAGAATAATGGTCTCCAGTTCTATCCAAATTGCTGTAAAAGACATTATTTCATTCCTTTTTATTAGCTGAGCAGTACTCCATGGTAAATATATACCACATTTTCTTTATCTACTCATCAGTTCATGGACATCTTAGGTTGATTCCATATCTTTGCAATAGATTCCATATCTTTGCAATAGTTTCCATATCTTTGAATTGTGCTGTGATACATATTTGGGTGCAGGTGTCTTTATGATATAATGACTTTTCTGAATTTATCAATCCTAGAAATCTTTTTGAGGAGGGGAATCTTGAGGATTTTCTAGGTATAAGATCATATCATCAGCAAACTGGGATACTTTGACTTCCTCTTTTCTAATTTGGATGACCTTTATTTCTTTCTCTAACCTGATTACTCATTACTGCTATGTTGAATAAAAGTGGCGACAGTGGGCATCCTTGTCTTGTTCCACTTCTTAGGGTGAATGCTTTCAACTTTTACCCCATTCTGTATGATGGCGGATGGGTTTTTCATATGTGGCTTTTATTATTTAGAGGTGTGTTCCTTATATGCCTAATTTGTTTAAAGTTTTTATCATGAAGGGGTGCTGGATTTTATCAAATGCTTGATATTGAGATAATCATATGGTCTTTGTTTTTACTTCTGTTTATGTGGTAAATCACATTTATTGATCTGTGTATGTTGAAATAGCTATCTGTTATATATGTTACTGATTTATATGGTTTTTTTTGAATGGATTGCTTTTAAGATTTTCCTTTAAATTTTATATGTTGCAGTTTTACTACAATATGTCTGTGTGGATTTAGGTTTTTTTTGTTTTTTTAGTCTATTTTGTTATGGGCTGACTTTTGATCTAATGACTTACTTTTTCAAATTGTAGAAAATTCAACTGTGATAGCCTCAAATGTTGCTTCTCTAACAATCTTCTATTCTTTTGAAATTTTTATCAATATATTGAAGTTTCTCAATCTCTTTATCTATCTATCTCCCATCATCAACATTGTCATCACGATCTATTTATCCACATTCTTTTTATCTATCTGTGCTGTATTCTGGGAAAAAGTCTTCCATATAATCACCCAGTTCACCAGTTCTTTTTTTGATTGTGTCAGTCTAGAATTTATTCTATCTATTAATATTTTTTGTTTCAATTACAATTTTTTCCCAAGATAGATTTTTTTTATTGTTTTTAAAATTCCATCCATTTCTTCTTATGGCACTTCAGTAAATTTTTATACTTTTACATAGCTGTTACATCTTTGAGCAACCTAATCATAAGCAATTTTAATGATAATTTAAAGTCATTGTGAGATGGCTCATAAAATTAATTTATTCTGAAGTAAGTTGACATTCTGATTGTTGATTTGATCAGTTATTAATTTTGGCATTGTACGTTTGTATGTACTTGGACATTTTAGTATGTTAGCTCATTTTAACAAGATTTTTTAAAAATCTGCCCTTTTTCTTTCTCATTCTGTTTTGCAGTTGCCTAAATCCATCCCTTTGATCTACCATCCTGTCCCTCCCATGGGCATTTATAGCTCTTGTTCCATGGCAATATTGTGGATATTACAGATTGAAAGAATGTCTTGGTTTAGTTCTTGGTTGTGAGGCTACATCAGTGTCTACTCTCCTTAGGCAGGGCCTTCTTTCAGGAGTAAAAGACCAGTGCTGATTATCATGCTAGTGCTGATGTCAGGCACTGAGCCTGATTTAGGCTGTTGTTTTACAGAGTACTCATAGTCCCACTTGCTTTCCAGGAGTTGAGTTCCCACCGCCCTGCCATCTTTGGGCCCAGAATCAGCAAGCCCACAGCTTCAGCCCTGCTCACTTTTTCACATTTCTGCTCAGCTTTTTGTCTCTAGAACCTATTTATCAATCATGCATCCTTCTTTCTTTCTTTTTATGCATTATTTTCTTAATAACAACAATAAAATGTTTGTATGATTTTGGAGGCATGGGGGAACATAAAAGCATGAACTATGTCATCTTGATTGAAAGCAAAAATTTACTTCTTAAAAGTAATTCTCCATATTTCCAAAATGCTTATATGTTTCTAGGGTCAGAATTATATTCAATTTGAGACAATGATAGTATAGCTTAGCATTTTCCTTATAGATGCTTTTCTTTTTTTATTTAAATATTAAGATATGAGATATATCTTTTGTGAATATTCATTTATTCATTTATCAACAAATATTTATTGAGGGCACTCTATGTGTCAGGTACTGTTCTAAGTGATAGGAATGCAGTAGTGAATAAAACAGTTTCTGCTCTTATGGAGCTGACATTCTACTAGAGAAAAATAGGTAATGTGCAAATAGATAAACATAAAATAACAGGTACTATTAAGATGAAAGGGGAGTTGGGAAGAAAAGAATGAAGGTGGATTTCAATTACAAGGGAGGATGGAGTAAGCATACCTCTCCCAGTTTCTCCCATTAAATACAACTATAAATCTTAGACTATATGGAGGAGCTATCAAATTTGGAACTCAAAATGGTCCCAAAAGAATTGGGGAGGGAGACCAGAATTCAAAGTTCCACCAAACCAGCAATAAGTTTACTACTTTCCTCCTTGGAATTACCTGGCATGGAATCAGAGGTATCCAAAAACCGAGAAGTAAGCACCAGATAGAGACAGAAAGAACATCACAAGGAAGCCTTTCTTTCTGGTGCTCTGCTCCTCTTGTAGAAAGTGGTTTAATTGATCACTAAGCGCTCTTTGTTTGACATGTTATAAGAGTCTCTTATAAATTGATAAGAAAAATGGTCAAAAGATATTAACAATAATAAAATATTCTCAAAAAATAAAATGTAAAATAAGTACATAAAAAGATAGTTAACCCAACTACTAAGTTCTAAAGAAGCAAAAATGAGATCCTGTTTCTGCCTGCTCTTACCAATTTGACAGAGGCTTCTGAAGATAATATCTAATTCTGATTAGAGTTTTATTAAACAGATTTGGGTTTTTATTGTTGTTTTCTGGCTTGTGTATATATGTGTGTGTGTGGTGGTGGTTATTTTAAAAATATATAGTTTTAAAACTTGGAAAGAAAAGGTTAGTAAATGATATCTCTGATTCTTATTTTTTTCTCTATTGATTTACTTACATTTTCTAATTTTCCTACATTTATAATACATTGATTTTATAGTCAGAAAAAAATTATACAGCTATGCAGATACATTTTTAAAGGTACCTTTTAACCTATCAAATGACACTTTCCTTTGGTATTGACATGTAGGTGTTCCCTCTGGCACATGTGTGCAGTGACACAAATAAGATGACATTAATTAACCCACACGGAGTCAAGCTCAATATCTACAAGCAAAAAGTGGAAAAGGCAATTAAGTCCTATGAAAAGTAAGTATTACTCTTGGCTGCTCTTTAATGGGTGTGGAATGTATTTGTTTGTTTTGGCTTTTTTTTCTTGTTTTAGCTTAGATTTTTTATCTGAATCAGTGATTCAAAAATTGTTCATAAGGATTATCAGCAGTGACAGCAGCACTCAGGGCTTCCTATGTGCCAGGCACTGCATTAAGTACTTCACTTGAATATTTTGGGCATTGCTTTAAAGAAACCAGCTTCCCTTTCCAAAATCTATAGACATTTCATGTTTCCATGAGATCTTTAAAGTTTTCCTTTTAACAGAGTGAATTTGATCATTTCATATCTAACATTCTGTAAAGTGACTAATAAAACTCCATAGTGAGATAATAGAGATAATGTAAGTATATATTATTATTTAAAAATTTTTCATATCAAGTTCAAGATGATGATAAAGTTGACTACAGTGAAATCCATGCTCTGAAATAGTTCCTGTGTCTGTGCTGAGACTGGAGCCTCTCCTCACAAGGGGTGGATGACCCAGTCTTCATCCTTGTCCATGCTGTGATCACCTCCCCACCCTGCTCACATTACTTAATTAATCCTTGGTGCACAGCATTTGCTTAAACTTTGAGCATACCAGCTTCTTCAAGCAAGCCTGGTCTTGGTTCTGGAAGTTGAGTTTTCATTTATCATGTGTGTGGGAGAAATGAAACAGTGTCCATGAAAGTTAACAATGTGGCCCAGGCCAGCGTTTATTGGCCTCTTGTCATTTTGCTGTGTGTCTAGTGTATGTTCAAAACAAATACAAGGTCTGACTCCTGCCCACAGGGTGCACACAGTCCTGTCTAATGGCACATGTTTCCCAACTTTGCCATCACAGACCTCTCCCACCACCCTCCACCTAAACCTATTCCACTGCCCTCACCTAGAATTGAGGCTCTCTTACCTGGGGTCCTCTGTGTATTTCTGAGTCTATACCTGCCCTGCATCTTTCTTTCAGAGGCAGGTTGAGCCAGTCAAGGCTCACCCTTGCCCATACATCTGAGACTTCCAGGCAGACCTCTCCTTCCCTCCAAGCTTTACTCCTCCTCCTGTTATGCTGGTGTCCCTAGCAGGGTCTTTTATCCCTTCTTGCCTCAGCACCAATGGCCCTCCTCAGAGAGGCCTTTCTTCAGTTCCCCTCCACTTTCCACCCTCTGTGTGGCCCTTAGAGAACTTGGGGCTTCTGCACAGGCCTATGGTCTGCTGACCATCTCTGCCTCTCTAGGATGTCACCTCCTGAGGCCAGGGGCTTGGCCAACCTTGTTTTCTCCTTCATCCTCAATTCTTAGCAGGTGTCTGTGTATGTGTGTGTTTATTTGACTATTCAAATTTGATATAATTCAAGTTTAGTTATTAAAATTCTTCAAATTCAGTTATTCAAAATGCAATATAATAATACCATTCAAATTCAAATGTGATTTGCTTGAATAACTCAAATATTTTAGTTCTGTAATTACCTGGTCTGTGAAAGTCTGGTGTAAGACCACAAGCTAGAGCTTTGAGGTCAGAAAGTTCTTGGCGGTTTCATTCTTGGATCTGACAGCATTCTGGGTAAGTATGTGACAATCATAAGCCTCAGATTCCTTATTCACAGAACCTATCTCACAGGGGTGTTGTGAGGATTATGTAGATCACATATAAAGAGCAGTTAATGTTAATTACTTGTCCCTTTCATTTCCTGAATCTGCTAATCCTAAAATGACTATAGATATATGGAATGTGGCCATCATACAGCTTTTCCCACTATGCTGACCTTTCCCCTGGAGTTTCAAGAAGGACAGGGACCCCCATTCCCAAGCAGAAGAGAGGCCTTCTTCCTTAGCAGCAAAACCAAAACACAGACATAGTAAGTGGTTTGTCCCACTTCTTACTTCCAGTGAGTAAATCTGGAAAACCCGTTAGTATCCTCTAGAGAACTATTGTCTCTATATTATTAGTATTAAAAATAATGTTTTAATATTATTAACAACATTAATTTTTACATGACTGATATCATTTAATAATATATAAAATTATTGATTGAATTATTTGATATGTTAATTTGATGTTTGTATTAAATAATTTATTTAACACAGTGACTTAATAATATCAAGGTTATCATGAATATTATACAGAATAAAATTTCCTAATCCTTTGCATTCAATAGTGTTTAAGACTTTTATACATATATAAGTGTTTAAGACTTTTGTACATACATTTACATAAATGTAAATTCCTCTTTCCATTTTGCTCTACTTTTCTCAAGATATGTAGAATATAAAAAGCAATTGATGAAATGTTTACCTCCACCCCATCTCCAAATAACATTTCTAAGGAGTTTCTCACCAAAAGTAAGCCAGATGTAACCTTATATATAACCTTCATGTAACCTAAATCCATATATTTAGGGATAACTAGTCAAATGAGAAGCTCACAGTCCTTTGGCCAAAATAATGACATAGTTGCTTTGGTCACACTTAGTACCCCTGTGTGAGAGTTCTTCTGTTTCAATATTTTAAGAATTGAGGCAGTAATTTTGGCTTCATGTGTCTGAGCATAAGATTTGAGTAAATATTGCCAGGGCTAGCTAGATTCTGGGGTGATTTTTCTGCAGCTTACTTTGATTGCAAGTCTAAAGTCAAGGTCACAGCTCTCGTACCCAAAGGAAAAGCATCTGTTCTAACCTGGCTCTGGGACCATGCCTCGAACCCTCTACTTATAGTCTTCAATTTGCTGCGCTGGGTGCATATCAGACTTCCGAAGTATCGCTAGTTACAAGCTGCTTTGCAAATGAATCAATTCTTGGCGCAAGTAGATTTGAAATTAAAGATACAGAAAGCTAGTCAATACAACCCCTCAACCAAATTTTACTCTCCTACAACAAAGAGGAAAACTATTGTTAGTAAAATACCCAAATTAAGGGGCTGGGCCAGCCTCAGAGAATCCCTCATACCCAGTCCCCTTCCCGCATCCCATGGGGATTGTAACACGTGCTTAACACAATGGTTTTCCTATGGTTGCCTCCCAGCATTAAAGAGCCAATGGCTTCAGTAGAGCCATTGAAATATTTCAGTGAAAATGGAAAATAGGAGAATAACAGAGGTTTTAAAAATGTGCTGTTGGAAAAGTCTTTTCTAAAGGATTGAATTAAAGTTAGAGGCATGTGCTAGCTAACTGGGACCACATTCACCAATGATTTCTTAGAATTTCTAAGCCTTGTTATTCAGAACCTGGAGGGAACAAACATTGAGTTATTCCTGGTCACTTTATATACCTCATTTAATCCTCTCAAGGATGCCAAGGGCAGATGTGGTCATCTTTGTATTATCACTGAGAAAACAAGTTTCAAAAAGCTGTGTAACACAGGATCACATAGCAGGAAAGTAGGGACATAGAGATTTGGATCCAGACCCAGGTCATTCCAAAGCCCTTATCTAAACTCCCAGTCTCTCCCTACCACACTGCCTCCACTTTCAAAGTTTAGATTTAAGAGGATTGTGAATAGGGTTTTTGTTTTTTTAAAGAAAAGCACACACATACACACAAACCCAAAATGCATACTATGAATCCTTTTAACAAGTCTTAGCGTTCTTGATCATTGTTACATGAACTACATGATTAAAGAAAACCAATTTCCAGATAGGCCCCAAAGAACCAAAAATTTCAAGTGAGACAGAAAAACTTAGTTGGCTTATTTCCCTCTTCTTGACTCTTTTTCTGTCACTTACAGAACATTTACCTGTGTCAGACACAATTCTGTGTGTTAGATACATACTAGTTCATTGAGTCTTCACAGTGACACTAGGAAGGGGGGAGGTACTATTATTCACATTTTACAGAAGAAGTTGGATACTGGTCCAAAGCCTCATGGCTGGGAAGAGGAGAAGCTAACTGAGCTTTGGACCCAGGCATGTGGCTCCAGAGTCCATCCTCTTACCTACCCCCCACAGCAGACTCCCTTTCCATGTCTTGTCGGGCTCTTGGTGGGAGAGCAGGCAAGATAACACCTCTGCCAGAAGTGTGTTCTCAGAGCCTCATCCCACTGGTGCTGGATCCAGTGGTTAGAAGGATGCCTTCTGAGTGGAGTAGTGTCCTCGCACCTTATTTTATTGAAGCAATTTTTTTAATGGAACATCAGCTCACAAGTTTGGAGCCCGTGTTCTGAGCCTGCAGTCCAGGAAGCATGCTTTGGGGTAGTGAACTCCCCTGGAGGAACCACTGGATCCAATCCCCTTCTCTCCTCTTGGGTGACAGCTTCCCTCCGAAAACACATTCAGTAATGAGCTGTAGTCTCAATGCCGCCAAGTAGCAGTGCTAGGCGAGCAAAGTGCCTCATCTGTCTGCCCCTCAGCATCCTTATATAGAAGACAAGGCAGACAGACTGGTTGATCTCTACACTGCATCCCAATCCTACTATTTATGACCTTGTTAACCTCTTTTGCTCTGAGAATCCAGGCAGAAGAATGTCTACGGAAAGCAAGCTAGGTAGGGGCACTGTTGTTATGTTTTCCTTAGGAAGAAAAATGGTCAGAGGTTAGAGACGTCTTCATACATAGGAATAATCTGTCTACTGCCTTTGATCAGATTGGGTTTTACCTGACTGAGCTGAGAGCTGAGCTCTCCTTTAATAGTTGACATAATTGCTACAAAACCACAAGGCTTCTGCAGTGATGCTGAGGAAACACTCATATCTAGTCTCTCTAAGCGGGTAACTGCTGTGTGGTCCGGTGGTAATGACACTTAGCTTGGGCTCCCCGCATTGCCTGGGGTCAGCCTTTTGCCATGAAATGAAGTATTCCCACTAAATTGTTGTTGTTTTTTAAACAGACGCTTGAATAAAATTGTTTGGCAAGCATTATCTCCAGAGGAAAAACAAAGGTAAGCCATTCTATTCCCTCTTAACTTTTTTTAAATTTTGGTGAAATTCATGTAACCTAAAATTAACTATTTTAAAGTGTACAATTCAGTGGTATTTAGGATATTCAAAATGTTTTACAAACCACCACCTCCACATGGAGGTCGGTTCCAGTGACCCAAGGACCGTGGAGTTCTCCTCACCCCACTAAGTTCCACTGAAGCAGTCTCCGAAAGCTTCTAGGTCGGGGCCTGAAGCATCTGAGGCAACTCCTCTGCTCAGATCCTGCAGCACTGGAGGGGAGGGGAACATGGCTTCCAATCACAGGGTGCAGGTTAGAGGAGTATCTACTTCCTCCCTCAAGTGGTGGGGGTAATGTGAATGAAGACTGTTGCTGCAAAGCTGAGTCCATTGCAGACCTGGCACCATTCACCTGAGAGCATAGGATGGTGTCAGCTGCAGAAAATCAGGATTAGCTGCCACCAGATCCTTACTGTGCCTGTTATCTTGTGCAATGGCTCTGCACAGACTCTAGGCAGCTCCCCTGTCTGTCCAGACAGAGGCCTGTGGTGGTGGAGGGAGACCTCTCACAACTCAGCCACAGTGCTTGTGGTGTCAGTGCAACACCCCAGCACTCTATCTTCCTAATCTTCCCTGCATGTAGATGCCTCCCCAAAGATCCCTTTGATCTTGTCAAACGTATCACCCAGTCACCTTCTACTTCCCTCCAAGTGTCCCATGTTGCTTCTCTGTGATTTCACAGTGTTCCTTCTAAGAAAAGCTATCTGTAGGTAGGCATCTGCCTGCAATTTTCACTCCTTTCCTTGAGAACGGCGTGCTTGTGGGCTGCTTCTAGTCTGCTATCTTCCCTTCTATTTTCTTTCTATTTTTTGTGTATCTGTTGTAGATTTTTTGATTTGAGGTTGAGTTTTCATAGTTTTTTTGAGTTGAGGTTATTTTCAAATAACATTTTATAACTAATTATTTTAAACTGATGACAACTTAACTCTGATTATAAAAAATAACAAACAAGTAAGCAAAGAGAAAGCTAAAAATAAAACCTCTACACTTTAACTCCATTCCCCCCACTTTTTGAATTTTTTTGTTTTTATATATATCTTTTTATACTATCTATCTCTTAAGAAGTTGTTGTAGTTACAATTTTTAATAAGTTTGTGTTTAAGTCTTCCTACTCAAGATATGAGTGTTTTACACATCACTACTGCAGTGTCAGAGTATTCTGTATTTGTCTATGTACTTATTGCTACTAGTGAATTTTAAATGATTTCTTATTATTCATTAATACACTTTTCTTTCAGATTAAAGAACTCCTATTAGCATTTCTTATAGGACATGTCTGCTGATGACAAAAATCCTTCACTTTTCATTTGTCTGGAAAAGTCTTTATTTCTTCTTCATGTTTGAAGGATATTCAAGGTCCAAGAGCTCCTTAGTCATCAGGTCATAAATCCTGCCAGGACTGGGTCCTTCCCTTTAGGGCAGCAGATTTCCTTCTGTCCCAGGGTGGATATGGTAATGTCATCCAGGAGCTAAGGCCTGGAATTGAGGGCTTCGGGAATTTGCTTGGTACTTTATTTTACTGTGCCTGAGCTGGTTAGCACCTAAGTTGCAAGACAAAGCCCTCTGTACGCTTCCCTTTCCTTTCCACAAGTGGAAGGAGTCTCTCTGTCTCTGAGTTGCATGGCCTGAAGTTGGGGCAGGGACAATGCAGGCACTCCCCTGACCACCACAGCTGGTGTCTGATTGGGTCATGTGCACCCTAACCAAGTCCACTGGCTGCAAGTCCAGTGAAGCACCAGACTTGCTCAAGGATTGCCATCTTTGTGGCCTGGCTGCCTTTCAGATTTATTCTAGTCCCCAGGCCACTTTTGTCAGCCAGTGGTGGAACCAGCTGGAGCTCAGGTTTCCACTGCTAAGGAAGAGGATTCCCCTCTGGCCAGGGATGGTCTAAATACTCCCTCCAAGGGTACCAGCAGAATTGTTCCTTGTGTTGTATTCCATTGTGACAGTGCAGCACTGAGTTCCAAAGCAAAGTCCCAGAATCACTTCACTCTCCCTCCCCCAAGTACACAGATTCTCTCTCATTGTGGCCCTGCTGAGGCCTGGGGTGAGGTGGTATAGGCAGTGTAAAACTATCTTCCTTACCCTCTTCAGTGCCTATTTCCTTGATGTGATGTTAAAACCAGGTCCTGTGATCACTCGCCTCATTTTTGGTTCTTACCAGGGTGTTTTCTTGTGTGGATAGTTGTTCAATGAGTGTTCCTGTGGGTGGATGATCACTGAGAGGTTCTATTTGGCCATCTTGTTCCCCAAAAGCTTTTAATTTTTAGGTAAGTCAACTTACCTTTTTTTCTTTTGTTGGTTGTGCTTTTGGTATCAAATCTAAGAATCCATTGCCAAATACAAAAATCATGAAGATTTATCCCTTTGTTTTCCAATGTGGTTATGGTCTTAGGTTTTACATTTATCTTATTGATCCATTTTAAGTGAATTTTTGTATAGAAAGTAAGGTAAGGGCCGAACTTTACCCTTTGCATGTGAGTATCTAATTTTCTCAGCCCCTTTTGTTTAAGAAACTATTCTTTCCCCCATCAAATGGCCTTGGCACTCTTGTTGAAAATCAATTAAACATCAATGTTTCGGCTTGTTTTTGAACTCTTTATTCTATTCCATTGGTCTATATGTCTACTTTTATGCCAGCTGATACTTTTAATTATTATAGATTTGTAGCAAGTTGTGAAATTGGGAAGCATGAGTCCTTCAACTTTCTTCTATTTCAAGATTGTTTTGGCTATTTGGGGTCCCTTGAAGTTCCATATGAATTTTAGGATTGGTTTCTCCATTGTGAAAAAAAAAAGGCATTGGAATTTCAATAGGGATTTCACTGAATCTTTAGATCACTTTAGAGAGTACTGCCATCTTAACAATATTAAGTCTTCCAACCCATGAGCACAGGATGCCTTTCCACTTATTTTGGTCTTTCATTTCTTCAGCAACGTTTTATAGTTTTCAGTGTACAAGCCTTTCATGTTCTTTCTTGTTTTGTTCTTTTGGATGCTATTGTAAATGGGATTGTTTTCTTAATTTCATTTTCAGATTGTTCATTGCAGATACATAGAAACACAACTGATTTTTGTATTTTGACCTTGTACCTTACAACTTTGCTGAATCTATTAATTCTAGTGGCTTTGGTAGGGAGGTGTCTCTGGGATTTTCTGCATATAGAAACATTTCATCTGCAAATAGAGATAATTTGACTTCTTCTTTTCAAATTTGAATGCCTTTCATTTCTTTCCCTTGATCTAGCTAGAACTTCCAGTATAACATTGAATAGCAGTGGTGAAAAGGGACATTCTTGTCTTATTCCTGATCATAGGGAGAAAGCTTTCAATTTTTTACCATTGAGTATGATATTAACTGTGGGTTTTTCATAAATGACCTTTATTGTGTTAAGGAAGTTCCTATGTGTTCCTAGTTTGCTGATTGTTTTTAATTATGAAATATATGTGCTGAATATAGTCAAATACTTTTTCTGTATCTATTGAGATGATCATGTGATTTTTTTTCCCTTCGGTCTGCTGATGTGTATTTATTTTCTTAAGTTGAACCACCCTTGCATTCCTGGGATAAATCCCACTTGGTCATGGTGTATAATCCTTTAAATGTTCTGTTGGATTTGATTTGCTAATATTTTATTAAAGATATTTATGCCCATATTCATAAAGGAAATGGTCTGTAGTTTTCTTTGGTATCTTTGTCTTGCTTTGGTTCCAGGGTAATTCTGGCCTTGTTGACTATGGTAAGAAGGCATCCCTCTCTTCTATTTTTTGGAAGAGTTTGAACAGGTTGTTAATTCTTTATATGTTTGGCAGAATTCACCAGTCAAGCCATATGCTTCTGGACTTCTCTTTGTTGGGGGTGGAGAAGTTGAGTCCTTATTGAATGTCTTTAATTTTTGTAGACTGTTGAGATTACCTATTTCTTCTTGAGTCAGTTTTGATAATCTGTGTGTTTCTAGAAATTTGTGTTTTTTATCTTGGTTACCTAATTGTTGTCACACAACTGTTTATAATATTCTCTATAATTCTTTTGATTTTTGTAATAGTAATGTCTCTGCTTTCATTTCTGATATTAGTAATTGTGTCTTGTCTCCTTAATTTAGTCAGTTTAGGTAAAGGTTTGTGAATTTTTTTTTTTTTTGGCATTTTTCAAAGAACCAACTTTTCATTTTGTTGCTTCTCTCTATTGCTTTCCTATTCTCTATTTTGTTTATATCTGGTCTACTTTTTATTATTCCCATCCTATTCTGGCTTTGGGTTTAGTTTTCACTTCTTTTTCTAAGTCCTTAAGGTATAAAGTTCAGGTTGTTAATTTGAGATCTTTCTATCTTTCTAATGGAGGCATTTATTTACAGCCATAAATTTCTCTCTGATCACTGGCTTGCTGCATCCCATAAATTTTGTTATAGTTTTCATTGTCATTTATCGCATATTATTTACTAATTTCCCTAGTGATTTTTTCTTTACCTATTGGTTATTTGAATATGGTATTAATAATTCCTGTATATTGCCAATTTGCTAGTTTTCCCTTTTGTTATTATTCTAGCTTTATTCCATCATGTTTAGAAAAGATACTTTGTATGATTTTGTTCTTTTAAAATATTTTGAGAATTGCTATGATCTAACATATGGTCTATCGCAGAGAATGTTAAATATGCACTTAAAGTAGTGTAGTCTGCTGTTGTTAGATGAGGTATTCTCTGTATGTCTGTTAAGTGTAGTTGATTTATAATGTTTTCTGTCCTTTATTTTATTTTTACTCTTCTATCTGGACATTCTGTTCACTATTGAAAGTGGGGTGTTGAAGTGTCCATCTATTTTTGTACAGTTGGCCCTCCATATCCATGGGTTCTACATCCAGAGTCAACCAACGACGGATCAAAAATATCCAGGAAAAAAATAGCAGTACAACCATGAAAAATAATACAAGTAATCTGGATAGT